ACATATATATGTATATATATACACATATAGTATATATAGTTCTTTTTTTCATTGCTCCTTAGTATTCCACTGAATGGATATACTGCACTATATTTTAACATTATAAAATATTTGAATGTTTTCAAATTTTGTGCTGTTATGAAGAGTACCCATGTGGCCAGTCTTACTTAGTATCTTAGTGCATGTGTGCATACTTTTCTGTTGGTACCTAAGATGGGGTACAATTACTAGGTGCCTTCAAATTTAGTAGATACAAATATATTTCCAAAGTAATTGCACTGTTATACTCCTACTGTGTGTGAGAATTTGTGTTACTGTTCATCCTTTCCAACACTTGCTATTTTCATCTTTTTAGTAGCCATTCTGATAGGTGTTTGTGGGATTTTGGTTTGCTTTTGCATTTTCATAATTCTTGATGATAGTGAACATCTTTTCATGTTTGTGGGCTAATGAATATTTTATTTTTTGAAATAACAGTTTGCATTATTTGCTTACTTTCTATTGCTTTGCTTCTGTTTTTCTTATTTTATGGGAGATACACATTTTTATTTTCATTTATTTTTTTAAATAAAGACAGATATTGTTGGTATATGCTGGAAAATAAGCAACTATAAATACTTAAAATATAAAATTAGATAATTATTACATAAAATATCCAATGCAATGTCTTACAAAATCATGATTGTACGATTTTCTGTCTATAAAAATGTTAATTGATGGGGACAAACAAGATGACAGAGGGGTAAGCAGGAGAGAAAGAGCCTCTCTGAGAGTTGCTATTCAGCCACTAGAATATAACAAAGTGAGGAAGACAAGAAGAATGGAAGTGGGTGCTCTGCACCCAGGAAGGATCTGAAGCATGAATTGGAGCTCACAGAGACAGTGAAGAGAAAAACTTTAAGGAAGAAGAAGGAGGCAGCCAGTGGAGCCTTCTGCCTGAGATGGGACTCACTGCGTGACAGGAGTGATTCAAACCTGTGGACCCACAGTGACGGCTGGTGACCCCATAGGTCTCCACAGGGAGACAGCAGTGGAGGGGAGCAGTGGACATGAAGGACTGCACTAGTTAGCAGTGAGTGCTGAGGGCTCAGTCGTCCTGTGCAAGAGATTGATTGGCTGGGAGCCATCTTGGAGAGAGGCCTGCTGAGCTCAGAACTCAGAGCAGCTGCCAGCGCTCCATCTAGTGGCTCCCAGCTGGGCTCGGGCACATGGAAGATGTGCTGACGGCAACAGGCTTAATGAAGTGCAGGTTCATGGAGATGATCCACTACCCTGCCAAAAAGCTACTGCTGGCTTGCTGGGATAAATGAAGAAGGATCGGGACTCTGTCTCCACATGTTGTCTACCAGTGACAGCAGAGATATACCAGGACTTTTGTCTTTTTTCATTTTTCTTTTTTTTTCTCCCTTGATTTTTTTTTTTTTTGTTCTTACGATATTGTTTTTCTTTTTGTTTTTTTTCTCCTTTATTATTTGATCTTGTTTAAATATGAGCGTGACTGTGGTTATTAGCTTCTTTGTGGTTGTGGTTCTGTTCTGTTCCTCTTTCTATCTCTTTCTTGTCTCTTTCCTTCCAGTCTTCTGCACAGTTTCCTAAAGATAGTATGATCCCCCTTTTGTCCTCCATCCTTACTTCTAGTCTCTTCCTCTTTTTCCACTTCTCTGTTTTCTTCCTAACCCATTTTAGATTTGAATGCCTGAGGGCAAAATTGGCATATTAAGGACTTGTATACTGCATATAATTTTCTGGTTTGTTTTAGATTTTGCTATATAGCCACAAATCTAGTTCATACAGTTAAAGGTGGCAAATTAATGGTTTCCTCAGTTTGTCATTTTCTAGGCTGTATTTGATGCTGTTATTGCTAATGTTACCACTATAGCCAAAAGTGACATAATTGTTCTAAACAGCTGTTCTTATTGGTATTCCAAAACTAAGATTGACTAAGGGTCACAGAAAATACTGTGGCACAATGCCAAAGAACCAGAGGCTGGGCCAAACAGGCAGCAACTTCTCATCTTCAACAAATTGAAGACTTAGAATCTTGCAACAGACTCAAAACCTCAAAACCAACTACACCTGGAAGATACCTCGGAGGAGTAGTCATTTCCTAAGGCTTCTAAATGCTAGCAATAAAACAACCCATCATAGGCAATTTAACAACATTACTGTAGGAATTAAACTTAAAAAAGAAAAGAAAATGAGAATACAGAAACCAAGATACAACCCCAGACATCCAGTTCACCAAAGGCAAACCCAGGGAGCAAAAAGGTGGGACAATCTGAAGGCCACCCACATGACCTCTCTGAAGTGGTAACAACAAAGCAATTGAATTAGGCTCTAGAAAAAATCAAATCAGAAATAATTTCTCAAATAACTGCAGAGATGGTGTCCACAATAAAAACCATGCTTAGTGACTCTAGAGCACATAGAGACAAAAAACTAGAGGAGCTTAAGAAAATTATGGAAGCCATGAATGCTCAGCATAAGAAATAAATGAAATCCATAAGGCAGATTTAAGCACATATTCAGGAGAATAAAAATTCTGGAATTAAGCAGCAGATTAAACTAATGTGAGAACAGGATCTCAGATACAGAAGACGGGTTTGTGAGCTGTAGTAAAGTGAAAGATTTCATAAAAATAGCAAGGGACCATGAGAAATCAATCCAGCAGCTGATAGATGAGCCAAAGAAGAATAACTTAAGATTGATTGGAGTCAATGAAAAAGCAAGAGATTGTGCAAATGATATAAAAAAAGTCTGTTTACAGATGTCATGGCTGAAAACTTCCCTCATAGAGAGAAAGAATTTGACATAGAGATAAATGAAACAGAGAATTCCAGTTAGTCACAATGATAAAAAATCTATAGCCAGGCATATCATAGTCAAGATTTCAGAAATTGAACACAAGAATAGAATCTTAAAAGCTGTTTGGGAAAAGAAACAAATCACCTATAAAGGGAAGTCCATCAGAGTCATAACTGACTTCTCAGCATGAAT